ATATTTAAATAAATGAAAATTTTGAGTGTTACTATGTTCAAATTGTTTTTTTTATAAAAAAATTAAACATAACTGAATTTTATCATTTTTTTACAGTATCACATTCTCTTTGAGGTTGCTTGAAAATGAAGAAAATAGCACTAAGTAAAGCCTAAAAAATTGTTTTTATCAAATTATTTAGAATTAGTAAAATAAAGATAATTTATTATTTTAATTTTAATATATTAAATATGTTTATTTAAAGCTGTTTACTTTATTTCTTTTAATATGAACTATAAATTGTTAATCGTATCACGATAATTTATTGTGTAAAAACTTTTTAAACTAATAACAAATACATTATTATAAGTAAAATTAGTCTTTAACCCAATAGACTTAAATATTTGTAACATGACATACACATATAAAAACTTATAAATACTAGTTAACAAAATTCTCATAAAATTGAGAAAATAAACATATTTTATCATGTATTAGATGGCATTTAAAAACAAAATGGTTTCCACATTAAGTAGTTCACACATGAATCATGCACTTACAAATTCCAAAAAAAATAATATATATATGAGCAAAATAATTTCAAACATGTATTGGTGTTTGATCCTAAGTAGTAGATTCCTCTCCATTTCCTCTTTATTCACTAATTAATTCATAAGCTTGTCATGGCAGCCGCACTTATTTGTAGAAGAATTGTGAGAAGCTGTTTGGTGGTGGTACAAGTCCATCAAAGCACTTCCTAGTTCCACCTTTCCAATTTACATAAAGATGTTATGGTTGCATCTGCATGCCCATCATAGCACAGCTCCTATGAGAATTGATGTATTTCCAATTTGGACAAAGACGGGGAATAGGTACATGCCCACCATAAAACTAACACCCTCTCGGCAATGGCAATTAGGTTAGGACCATGATATATTTTCTTTGTTTAGGCATCACCTAACATTATTCCATCAAATAATTTTTCCTTTACTACTACCATAACATCATTCCATATTTCTTTCCCCTTTCCAGCCTAGTTTTCCCTTTCGTCATAATGGGGACCAATAACTCAATTGTTCATACCAATTTCCATTGCTATATTCCTGTGACTTTGTCCTCTAATTCTATAAATTCGTATTTTTCAGATTAGTATAACAAGTTTCTTTGATATTTATCATGACTTTCAATTTACATGTAAAACCCGTGCAAAGCCAACCCTAGTTTAAAGTTATTATGGCATATTTTAATTGCAATTTTTAAAAAATAAAATAAGACAAGGCTATTTAGTTTACATATACTTTTAGAGAAGCTAAAGAAAAAGATGAGTTATGAGTTTTTTTTTATATATATGTATATTTTTTAGGACAGTTACATGAGT